CTGTTTGTCCTTGAACGGGATTCATGACAGTACCAAGGGTGCTATAGCACCCGGAGGACTCGGGATCATATTGTAACCATCCGACATTCTGTAGTTGACGGGAGTGGGTGGGCTTCCTTCCTGAGCCATGGACTTACCTCTATTACTGCTGAGCAAAGGGGTGCGCGGGACTGGTTCCCTCATCTAATGAGATTGGCTCTACTTCAACTTAGTGTGACATGGTATGATTTCCTTGGAAAAGTTAAAAAAAATAAAAAACGATTCAACTGATCAAATAAAACCCATCAGTTTTGCAGTGCTCGCGTGCGTTATTACATATTGGACTAGGAAATCTGGTCTTTGCGCTAGAAGCAGGGTTGGTATACAGCGGGATTTGAGAAAAAAAAATTCTATGAAGATTCTCAGTCAAAAGGAAATCAAACAGAGGGCGTGTTGGCCAATGTCCACTGTGGCAACCATTCCAACATCTTATTAGATGACAGCAACATGATTTTTACCTCCTGCCCTTGTTCCGCGAGGGACCTGGGTTGAATGTGAGTGTGTATATTGGGCACAGCTGGGTTCGTCTGATTCGCTGGAGATCCATCTGTCTGCACATTCAGAGATCCAGGGAGGAAGAGGACGAAGCTGTTGGGGTGGAAGGTGGAAGCTCAGGGACAGAGGAACTGACCTAATTTCACATGCATTTCTGTTGGCGGACGCGGCATATCCGCTTCCATTCTCTTGGCCAAAGCCAGTCGCACGGCCAAGTCCAAACCCATCGGGAGAGAGTCACAAGGGCCGAGAGGGAATGGACGACTGTGGACAAATAATCCAATCTAGAGAAGGGAAGGAAGGTCGCTGCGAGGTGCAGAATCTGCCTTTGGTCGGACTTGAAATAATCCCCAATTCTAGAGAGAGAATAAATTCTTGCCAGTTCTTCTCTCTACCTAATCTCTTCTGACCTCGTGCTCAGAAACATACCTTGCTTATCACAGAACTTCCTATTTAGTGTTTGTGATCTTAGTATTGGTGGATTTTTCTAGGAGCCACTATGTTCCAAGACTTTTCCATTAGTCCAAGGATTGAATTGGCCCAGGGTGTACCACAGTCAGATTAAGCCTGTAGCTAACAGTGGGTTTTGGAAAGTACACACCCAATATCTGGAGAAAATCAAGCATGTCAATGCTTCTAATATTGACATTTTCAGTAAATTGTACAGATTGTTTCTGGTCTTGTTTGGCGGTGTAGCTGGATTCAGTAGGCCTAAGTAGACCTTGGAGAAGAAAACGGAAAGGGGGTGCGTTGGGGGTGGTTGCAGGTAGGTGCGCACAGGTGCTCACTAAGGTGTGGTTCCGATTTAGGGACAGACCCTGTTGCTTCAGAACCTGATCTCCCTTCTACCTGTGATGCAGCACCCTGCCGGCTCTGGAACACTCAGTCCCCTCCCCTGCATGGGGGTGCCAGCTTGTTATTATCTGAACCAGTTTCCAAGATGGGTAATTGTGTTCTGACTCATGCAGTTCTTCCTACGTTTCCTGACTCTTCTGGGTGACTTACTCCTTCCTGTTGGCCCTTAACGGATGTGTGATGAATGCCGTGACGCATTCGGGAGTCGCCGTGTTCGGACGAGGGTAGACCACTCTTGTATAGGGACTCTGTAGGGGGTCAGCCTGAAGCCTGGGGCACCCACATCCTATGTCCACCCCTACCCCGGGAAAAGAAAGAGACCCTCAAACAGGAGATGACTTTCAGGGCTGAAGATCCTTTGTGCTGGACGTTGTTCCGAGTCGGTCCGTCATTAGCATTTCATTCAGGCGGCCACACAGCATAGGATTCAGGGTTACATGGCCTCCTGCAGCGCTTGCTTCTGCCATGTTTTTAGCTGTGAGCTTGAGCACCTGACTTGGAGCTTTCTCAGCCTCAGTTTCTTCATCTTGAAAATATCGATGATACTACCTTTCTCATAGGGTTTTGTGCAGATCCAAGGAGCCATATGATGCAAGAACAGCCCAAGCACAGAGCGCGGCGTCTGGTGCGGGCTTGGCAAATGCCGGCTCTCCTATGCCGGTTTCTCGTTGAGTGAGTCCACCAGTAAGTCACTGGCAGGTGACTCGCGCCTAGCTGCGCACCGGAGAGATAAGTGGATCAATCGCAACAGCGGATAATAGCGTACAGCTTCCTGCAGCGTACAGGGAAGCAGAAAGGAAGGAACAATTAATTCACACCAAGGTCGGGGCAGGTTTCCCAGAGGAAGCCGACCTTAAAGGAGAAGGAAAATTTCCCAGGAAAAAAGAGGCGGGAGAGGGAGGCGTTCACTTGGGAGACACGCCCTGCAAGGACGTTTGTGGGTGGGTGTGTTCTTCTGTTCAAGCCCACACTGTTGACACAGTTTCCGCTCTGCAGCAAGCCGTGTGTCACACTCAGGGGACACAGCGGTGAGCAAAACGTTCACTGTCCCTGGCCCATGGGACTTTCACTCCACAGGCTAGACGGGCGCTGAACCACAGCCCGCACAGCCATCGGCGGGCTGAGGGGAAAGACGCCACCAGGCCTGGCTGGCGTGGCTTGGTGGACTGAGCGTGGGCTGCGAACCAAAGCATCGCAGGTTCGATTCCCAGTCAGGGCGCATGCCTGGGTTGCAGGCCATGGCCCTCAACAACCGCACATCGATGTTTCTCTCTCTCTCTTTCTCCCTTCCCTCTCTAAAAATAAATAAATAAAATCTTAAAAAAAAAAGAAAAAAAAAGACGGCCCCGAAGGGTAGAGCCTGCAGACTGAGAACAGGCGGGATTGGGGTGGGGGTGTCTTTAAGGGCTCTGCAGGAACCGAGGTTTAAACTAAGCCCTGGGAGGTGGGGGGGGCAACGTCAGGAGGGAGTGGGGGAGCCTCTGTGCCTGGAGAGTCCCGGGCCCTTCTGGGGACGAACGAAGGGCGGGCCTCTGTGGCTGGGACATAGGACAGGAGGCGACGGTGACAGGGAGAAGACCGGTGAGACAGCTGTGGGGAAGGCCACCGAGGGTCCTGATGGTCATCCTAAGGATTTGGGCTTTTGCCCCAAGTGCCGTGCGTGGGAAGTCGTTGAAGTGTTGCATGCATAGACATGCTCAGACGTGGGCTTTGACAAGTCCACCTGGACCTCGTGTTTCCGGCGGGCTTACGATGGGAGTGGAGAGAGCGGCGAGTCGTCGTTGGCCAAGCGACAGAGGCTTGTGGCGGGGCGGCGGCACAGACATAAATCGACTATGAACCGTTTCATCCCATAAACCCGAAGGGACTTGGTGCAGTTGGAGGATGAGTCAGGCAGTGCTGCGGCACCAGAGAGGCCGGCTTGGCGAGCTTTGGGGGACACCGGTGTCTTAATCCAGGGGTCCCCAGCCCCTGGGCCGTGGGCCGGTACCTGCCTGTGGCCCGTTGGGGACCGGGCCAAGAGGGAAGCACACCTGAGCTCTGCCCCCTGTCCCACCCCCTGGCCCCCGTCCGTGGACAAACCGGTCCCTGGTGCCAAAAGGCTGGGGGCCGCTGTCTCAGTCCGTTTGTGCTGCTATCACAGAAGGTCATAAACTGGGCAGTTTATAAACAACAGAAGTTTATTTCTCACAGTTCTCGAGGCTAGAAAGTCCAAGGTCAAGGCCCTGCTAGCTTCAGTGTCTGGTGAGAACTTCTTTCTGGGTCATAGACGAAAGGCATCTTCTTGCTGTGTCCTCGGGTGGCAGAAGGGAGCAGGGAGCCCTCTGGGTCTCTTTCACGGGGCACTGATCCCATTCAGGAGAGCTCCACCCCCAGGACCTAAGCACCTCCCCAAGGCCCCACCTCTTCACACCATCACCTTGGCTGGAGGGGGTAGGGTAGGATTTGATCTATGGATCGGGGAGAGGCCCAAACATTCGGTCTATAGCAACCTGTATGATTTTTATGCTCAGGAATGTGCATTTATATTATAAAGAGAGCCAGTGGAAGTAAAAAAAGCAGGGAAACAAACTAATGAGGTTAGCCTGCTCATCGAGGGTATTTATGTAGCCCCTCACCTGCTTCTGGAGCCAGGTATTTATTGAATTTAGAGCAACAGGTGGAAGAAATGGTCCCCGTGACGGAAGGTAAAGATGGATGGCAGGCACATTCTTTCGCATAATAGCAAGGAGCTCCTGGAAGGGGAGTTCTTGTAGGTGGGGAAGCGTTATCTCCCTTGTCACTACTCGACCCTGAAGCCACAGAAACCTTCCGTCAGGCAGGAGCCAAATCTCAGCCCCTTTGGACTGCAGCGGGGGCCCCGGCTGTGACCAGAGGGGCACAGCCAGTTGGGAAACTCAGTAAGCAGCCCCCCACGTGGGAGGGGAGCCGTCTGTACAAGCGCTAAAGGAGCCATGAAGTGGTTGGTGGGACAGAGGTGGGAAGAGGCGGGACAGTGTGGAATGGGCGGTCTTGCCCTGCGCCTGGGAACCAGGCGTCACCCACGCAGAGTTCTCCGCCTCCGAGTGAAACAGAGGTTGCCTGGCCCCTGGGAAGCCGGGAAGTTCGAGGGCGGGTGCACCCTTCACGGAGCAGCTCTCTGTGTCGGGATCCCAGACTCGGACGCCGAGTGGGGGCTGTTGGTGAGAGGCCTGACGGTCCCCCTGGGGCTGGCGAACAGGGAGATGGTTTAGGCATGAACTGGATGGGTCTTTTGCTCAGGGTCAGTGGGGTGTTTCCTCACCTGCGAGTATCTGAAAGGCCGTTCGCCGTGATGCAGGCAGACACGAGAACCGTGGAGAAGGCACAGCCTTTGGCAGGTAAAAAAAACAAATAAAACAGCCAGAACAAGCTTTCTACCTCCATGAAGGCGAGCCTGGCCACATCACAGGCCTCTGGACGGACGGGAGCTGTAGGAAGGCGCATTAAGGGTAACCCGGGAGGGATCCACGCTTTCCCACCCGGCCGCGCCCCTCCTGCTGTCCCTGTCTGCTGCCCGGAGTCTGGGCGTGTGGGTGGGAAGCACTCCTCCGCGGAGCGCGATCGGACTCGCCGTTGTCCGTCTTTTTCAGGTCACGGAACTCAACAACGTGAAGAACGTGGCGCGATTGCCCAAGAGCACCAAGAAGCACGCCGTGGGGATTTATTTCAGTGACGATACCTCCAAGACCTTTGCTTGTGACTCAGGTTCGTGCACGGCGGGGAGGGCTGTGGCCTCCGGGTTTGTTTTGACGCGGGGTTTGACGCGGGCGCTGGGCTCACGGGTTCGCCTTCTGGACCCTCCCGCAGACCTCGAGGCTGACGAGTGGTGCAAAGTGCTCCAGGCGGAGTGCGTGGGGACGCGGGTCAACGACATCAGCCTCGGGGAGCCCGACTTGCTGGCCACTGGGGTTGAGAGAGAGCAGAGTGGTACGTACAGAGACTTGTCTCCTTTGCTCGTTTGTAGACCCGTTCGGTCCCTGTATAACAAAACGTAAGACACCTTCATGACGCAAAATGCTTCGAGTTGTAAAAAAAAAAAAAAACGCACGTAGAAGCAAAAATAACCTTTTGTTCCCCCTAAACCCAGTGTTACTATTTCAGTGGGTTTCACTTCTTTGTATATTTTAGATGCACACTCTGACTATGTCTGCATTAGTAACATCAGCTAGAATTTGTGGGGGGGGGGCCTGCTCTGGGCCTGTCTCTGTGGAAGATGCATATAGACTATTTAATTTTCTCAGCAGCCCTAGGGCAGAGGTACTGTTACTTTCCCATTTTGCAGATGAGGAAACGGAAGCTTAAAAGAGCTGAAGAGCTCACTCCAGTTCCAGTGGCTAGTGTTTGATTCCAGACCATACGTTTGGGCCCGTAGCTAGAATGCACGGATTTGACTGTGTCGTGGGTGTACGCCTTGCCTTTTCCACTTAAAATTTTCACTGAAAGCCTTCCAGTGTTGTTTTTAATAGAATCTGAACTTTATGAATATTTCATCAAGTGTAAACCTACCTAAGTCTGTGATTTCTTTTTTTTTTTTCCCCTTTCTACTGAAACACTTGAGCCAACTCTTTGAGCTCAACATTCAACCCAGGAATAAATCATTTTATGTAATAATGACCAAAATATTCATGAACACTTCAGCAAAAATCAATGTTGGTTTACAGTGTGAGCCCGGAGGTGAGAATCGCTTCCTTGTCTCCAAAGAGCAGAGGCATGGGACAGGGCAGATGGGTCCCCCAAGTTCTGCTGTGGCCCTATTGACGTGACCCCCAAGAGGCTGTGGGGCCCCTGGCCCGGCTGGGAACACGGCAGAGGCAGAATTGGGCTGACCCTTTCCCAGGTGTGCACTCCAATGGTTAGAAAAAAAACATCCTTCCCTCGCATGGGGGGCAGTGTCTTCAGGACACATTCACGGTCTGGGACCGTTTCGCATGGCCCGTACTGGCCATCACCCACCTTCCCGGACGTGTTGTTGACGGAGACCCAGAAGTGCGCGCTCATCCGCAAGAGCCTCTCTGCAGGCCGGGACGGGGAGCTGCGGGCAGGCGGACCTGTGGCAGGTCAGACAGCCGGGTGCGGGCCCCTTCCCTGCGCCCCTAAGTCAGGAAGCGCCCCCACTTGGAGGACGTACCCAGGTGCCTCACAAATGGAGGCACGTAAAGAGGAAAACACGACAGGTGTTGATTTTTTTTTTTAAGTTTAGAGTCCTCTGATCGGCACGTATTTTCGCACGTCTGTGTTTGCGAAGCTGCCTTCTGATGGCGCTACGCACGGCCTTCGAGACGCGGCTGTGCCCGGGAGTTACCTGTCCTGGGCCAGTGTTCTGTGCCTCGGTTTCCCCTTCTGTCAAATGGGAGTAAGAGTACCTCTCAAATGGGTAGAGGAGCACCAGGGATGACTGTGAAACTCAACTATGTCTTGTAAGGCTCTTTACAATGTCAGTTTGTGTAATTTCAAGTAATCGTAGTAGAAAGGGTCACTCTCACTACTGTGACTGTTTTCACTGGTGAGCAAGGCAGTTGTAAAAGAACTGTTACGCAAATAAACTGGTAACAGTCTCTCTTACTTTTTAATTAACGATGACGGTCTTTCTTACTTGTTCCAGCAACTATTTGCTTAGAGGGAGTTTGAAATAACGTAGAAAACTTGAATAATACATGCATGAATACATTTCACAAAGACAGTCTTGACACTCCTATTTACCGAATTCAACTAAAACCTATGGGAAATTCCAGTGATATCTTGACTGCAATAAAGTAATTAATGTAGAATGACATTAATGTTATTAGCATCACACTCTGTTGTCAGATGTACGCAATCTACCATAATGATGGGTAGGTGAAAATGTGTTTGCCATAATAGTAATATTTCTGTTCATATTTCACTTAAAGATTTTTGCCTCTGTAATCTTAAATTAATGACTTTTCTAAAAATATAATAGAAATGCCATGATTATACCTGTAGAAATGCAAATTTGGTTGCTGTAATGAACCAAGAGCTATATTTAGAATAATCTTAGTTAAACTTTAAACAGTCATCCCAACAAGCGAATGAGTATTTCTTTCCAGTATTTCGCTGAAGACAGCTCACTGTTAAAACTAGTTCAAATGTATCCATGGGAATTTTTCCAAACTGTAGGTCTATTACATGCATGGCATTAGTATCGAGTTTTCTTTAAATAATTTGGGATACAGTTTCATTCATTCTAGTTATGAAAATTACAAGCTGGTCCATATAACTTTAACATCGTTAAGCCAGATGACAATTATTTCACACCTGCATCTGTTGTGAACACAGAAGTGTGGGTGCAATTAATATGTACCTGGCAGGGAAAAAAATGTTTTCATGGTTTCCTTGCTCAGCCTTTTATTGGCACACACGTGTTTTTATTATGCAAATTGAAAGAGTCTAAAATGGTCTTTGCTCATTTAAATAGTGTCTAGTGTGTGTTGACAGGCAGACTGTCTCATAATTATGTGATTTAATATGGTCTTCATTTTAAAAAATCATTTTCTGGGACTGCTAACTTAGGAGGAAGGTTTATCCTTTTGCGTGTTCAGTCAAAAGCTAGACTGTTTGAGCTTGAATTATGTTGCAATGCCTCTGTGTTCCTACATTGTCTTTGATGTTTTATTCCTGGGGATTTTAGACTAACCTTCTGTTTTTCTCCCAGAGAGATTCAATGTGTATTTGATGCCATCTCCTAACTTAGATGTACATGGCGAATGTGCCTTGCAGATTACATATGAGCACATCTGTCTTTGGGACGTCCAGAATCCCAGAGTCAAACTCATCTCTTGGCCGCTAAGCGCCCTGCGGCGGTACGGACGAGATGCCGCTTGGTTCACTTTTGAGGCAGGGAGGTGAGTTTCGTGATCGTTTTTCCATGTTCCCCCACCCCGAGACCCCCACCCCCTCCCCCAGGTGCACATCGTTTGAGGCCTTGGTTTACATGAGACCCATCTGGCACCACACATGCGTACAGCTGTGTATGACCAGACAGTGTTTGGAGGGCATGCTGTAAACTAAGCACATGCCAATAAACATGGCGTTCTTTTCCACGGGCGATTCTAATGTTTCATGAATATGGTGTGAATTTGCACTTCGTGGTTTGACCGCGTACCACAGACTGAGGCTGAACAAGGTAAAAATGTACTGGATCAAGCTCCTTGGTTTTGGGAAAACTTCCCTGTTGTTACTCTGTTTGCATTTCCTGGTCTGAGCTGACTGCGGTGGGTGTTCGGTAGGGGTGGGGGGGGGCACTGAGTTGATTGAAGCTACAGGTGGTCAAGTTCCACCTGCTTTTCTCGCGGTGGGACCAGTGACGCTGGCGCTGGAGGAGGGTAACTCTGAGATGAGCTCTCCGCAGGGCCCCGCACAGCAGGTGCTGCTGCGGTTTCCCGTTGTCCTCCTGGGCGGTAGTCCGGGCCAGGGCACAGGGCTGCCCGGCGTCTGGGTGGGTCGTCAGCTGCAAAAAGATCAGTCTAATCAGTGTCTCACTGTGTCACTGTGAGGCAGTGTCTCACTTCCTCAGTGTAGGCTCTCTCTCTGTTTTTTAAAGTCCTCTTTTATTTTTTTAAAGATTTTATTTATTCATTTTTAGAGAGGGAAGGGAGGGAGAAAGAGAGAGAAACATCAATGTGCGGTTGCTGGGGGTCATGGCCTGCAACCCAGGCATGTGCCTTGACTGGGAATCGAACCTGCACTGCTTTGGTTCGCAGCCTGCGCTCAGTCCACTGAGCTATGCCAGCCAGGGCTTAGGCTCTATTTTTAAAACACTGTTTATACATGTTACATGTTAGAAATACAAGTGACAAAATTTTGAGAAACAGAAGTCCTTCTGTAAATGGTCTGATGTTGCATTCGAGTTGAGATCCATCAATTTGTGACTTCAAAAGTAAGATGTGTGTCTAACTGGACAGGAATGTGGTACTTCATATAGAGAGAGAAAACGCAGAGGTTCTAGCCACCCAAGACCCTAGTCCACCTGCGTACGTGACAGTAAGTTTCCATTCAAATGAGTCTGTTCATTCCAGTATTTTAAACAAAGCCCAGTTATTTACAACTTGCTTTTCAGAACTATGATCCATCTGATGCTCTTACAACCATTCTGGAAAGTTTTTAAATTGTGCTTTCCCATACAGCTCTTCTCTGGCCCATTTATTTTCAATCTTGAAAGTGAATCCCGGGTAGAGTGTCATTCCAGCACTGTATGGAGACGCTGTGTGTGAGTCAGGGGGCCTCCCAGAGGCTGCGAAGGTCGTTGTGTTAGGGAAGGAGACCTGGGGCTTCGGAGCAGGGTTCTTCCTTCAGAACTGCGTCCTTGCAGGGTGAAAGCAGGATTCAGTCAGAATTACTTTTTTATGGTCCTGGTGGGAAAAATCTCTACAGAGAAAATTAAGAATTCGCTTGAGCAGGTGGACGTTTTTTCCTGTTTGGGTCCCAGGTATTAGTTGTGTGTTCATTCTAACCAGTAACATCAAGGTATAAAAATGCTTTATAATAGGCTTTTGTGTTGACCATAAACCCAGGGCATTCCCACTCTCGTTTCACACTGATAAATGGGGGAACTCTGCCCTGGTCTGGACATGTGGGGGCATTTCAGGCAGCACACATTGAAACACGAATATCTTCCCATTGCTCCTTGATTCCCTATTTCCAGGGAATCCTAGTGGGAAAAGTGTGTGGCTTTTCTAATCATAATTCCTGAAGGCTAAAACCTTAGTAAACGTGTAAGCTTTTGTAGTATCTTATGGCTATTTGAAACTTTTTTTGAAATTATCTCAATATTCCAGGTTTTACTACTACGTATATCTTCCTTGAGACTAATTCATTCATACTGAAATCTGGTTGAACTTCTAAGGATCTAAGATTTTTTTTAAAAAAAAAGACTTTTATATTCCTCCTAAGTCTTGTAGGAAACCAGAGACTTTTTAAGCCAGTGTATCGTGTGTGTGTGTGTGTGTGTGTGTGTGTGTGCGTGAGACAGAGACAGAGAGAGAGAGAGAGAGATCGTGGTCCTCATTTGTAAACAACAGGATGCAGGGCGCAGATGTAGTTGTGGAGAGATACTGAAAGAGTTCAGGCGGAAGAAACAGTGGGTACAAACTGTGGGTGTGCTGGAGACATAAATTTCAGAATTGTCCAATGATCTTTGACCAAAGGCCACTGAGCGCTGCCGCCTTGGAAAATGGAAGAGTTCTCCTCTGGGACTCGGGTCTGTTTATGGTCTGACCTTCTGGGTATTTCATCAAGAACTCCCGCAGCTGGGTGATTATGGAACCCACAACCCCTCGCACGCAGCCTGGTGCCTCAGATAGCGCAGGGACTTGAGTATTTTTTGAGTCTGAATAGCATTCTTAATCAGTGTCACGCTTCGCGGGGCTGGTGCAAACGTGAGATTGAATGATGGGAAGGACAAGTACTGGAGATTGTGTTCTTGGGACCTCGCTCATTCCTTAGCCAGCGTGCTGTAGCTAAGGGACTCTGGTTCAAGAGTCAGCGAGGCCCTAGGCTCTCATCTCTATTCCTTGTCAGCTGTTGACCTTGGGCGAAGTGCTGGCCTCCCCTTGTAAGTTTGCCCAGAGATTTACTTCCTCGCAGGGTGAAAGCAGAACTGCATGTAGACAGATGGCCTAGGAGGGCGCTGGGTTTCTCCTAAGTAATATCTTTGATGTTTTATTATGATTCCTTCTGGAACAGGGCTTGCGTTTGCAGGATACAGTGTTAAGCACAAGGTGATATTGCTATTTTATATGTTTTCCTGAAACTCACACAAAGACAGATTTTTATAGTTACCATCAAGATGCTCAGGGTAATAAGATCACCCTTGTTCCCCCAAGCGCGAAGCTTTCGTATCCGCCTTGCTTTATTGGTGAAGATCATTTCTTCCTTGGCTATTTTCGGATGTGTTCAAAACAAGGCAGTTTCATATTAACTAATACAATTTCCTCCCTGCCTCACAAGGATAAATGAATAGGGGTTGAGCCTCTCTGGGCGAACTGTTTTCACGTACCAGGCTTGCTACCACAAAGGTGTCCCAGTATTTCTGTTCAGAACACGGGACGTGCTGTCAAACACCTTAGCCCACCTGTCAAAGACCTTAGCCCGCCCCTCAAGACCAACAGCGAGCACAGGTGATAAACTAGACTGGATGTTGGCCAAAACTAAATTAAATTCTATTTCTGCCACATGCTGGCTGCGCGACTCTGAGTGTGTCCGCTAACATCCTGAGTTCCCATGGCCACCTGTCACCTGGGTATCATATATGCGCATCTCGCAAGATCGCCGTGGAGATGAGTAAAGGTACACGTACACACCGTTGCCCTAATGCCGGCACAGAAGAGGCAGCGGTAGCAACCCACGGCCAGGAGCGGGAGAGAAACTCACTGCATCACTTACCTCCAAGTCCAGGGAGCAGGGGTGCTTGAAGACTTGGCTTCACCAGGGTCAATGATGACCTTGGGCTTCAGCTCTGCGTCCTGTTTCTTCGAGGACGGCGTCACTCTGGCCCCCCGTGGTGCCTTCTAGGGGCTGTGGGACCTGCTCACACCATCAGCCAAGGGAAGTGCGATCCGTTCCTGCCATACACTGACCGTCACGTTTACAAGGTGTCGGGCACTGTACCGGGAGCACTTTCTAGAAAGCACACGGGCTGTGAATTGAACAGAGATGGTTCTCCCAAAGCAGGAAGGCGGTTCTGACGCTATCAGAAGGGGCATAACTTCGAGGTTTAAAAACAATGAACCAAATGTGTCCAGTACAACACTTCCTAATTGCCCAACGCAAATGGAGCGAAGCGACGATGGCCTGTGATTGGCAAGGTCACTCAGAAGGAGGCTGAGAGGCAGAACGCTGGTTCTCCGCGGCCGTGATTGGGCACCCGGGGACATGGGGCAGTGTCTGGAGACATGTTTGCTTGTCACCCCTCTGACAGGGGCACTACTGGCACCTCAGGGCAGAGGGGCCTGAGATGCTGTTCCACCTACACTCTCGAGCAGTCCTTCCCAGGAAAGAATGACCAGGTCTGGTTATTCGACTGAGAAACTGCTCTAGCTGGCGTATCCTCCATCGAAAACAATCACTAATACTCACTGAGCCCTCACTATATGAAAGCCACTGTACTAAGCATTTGGCATGCACTCTCTCATTTAAACCGCTGGGCGATCGTATAATATTATTATCCCCATCTTGGTCCAAAGGCAGGAGACTAGTACATCGTGGATTCAGGAGTCACTCTCAGACCTGCTTACTTCCCAGCCCTGCAGATTTCTGAAAAGGCAAAGTATTACCATGCTACGGGCAGTCAGCATAGTTCTTTTATGTTTCCTTTTTTAATTGAATTTATTGGGGTGACACTGGTTAGTAAAATGGTGCAGGTTCCAGATGTACAATTCTGTAATACATCATCTGTGCATTGTATCCTGTGTTCACTGCCCCCGCCCCCAAGTCAGGTTTCTGCCACCGAAGGAGGAGCCTCGTACTTAATGAACTCCCACAGAGCCGAGGAAGAGAGCGCAGATTTCCGTAACCAGCGCTCCCCGACACTACCTGGGTGATCTTGTCAGAATATTACCATTGTATTGGAGCTGCCCCACTTGAGGAGGGCTGTCCACCAATGGGCAACGGACTTGCAAAGATGTTGGTGATGTGAACAGGCCTCCTGAGGTGTACGCTTGCTTAGTTTACTTTAAAGCTGGGACCTTCTATTCTTTCAGTTTGGAGGGCAGGCACACACAGCTAGGATCGTCCATCTCTCCCAGGCGGCAGGGTCATGATTACAGGTCAGCAGAGTTTTCTAGATGCTATCTCTCCCTCTGTCCCCCAGCAACGGCCCCATAAGCAAATCTGACCACATCTCAAT